CAATTTTCAGCTGTGATAACTGTCTACCGTGGAATTTACTTCTAAAACTAGAACTATCAGGAGAATATCCTTCTTACTCTGGATATATTCTTCACCGCCGAATACAATTACTGCACAACATTTCGTGTAGTGGAATTATTGGACCTCCAATTTAGTGAGTCTGTTCCGTTCACTTGTCCATTTCTTATTGCCATTTGTTATTTCTAAGCTGGTATTTTGGTTGTATATTCTATCGAACACGCATACATAGGTCCTTGTCCACTACATAATTAGCAAAAAGCAGGGAAGTCGCGCCAAGAAAAAATTGTATTCGTAACATTAAAACAAACGTCATGATACAATGTGAACGACAGTTACAAAGTGTGGTTCAAGTTCAGGAAGAATGGTAAGTGTGACGACGGATTACAGACACTACATGTCCACATAATTTCTGTATTCTACCTTCGGTAAGTTGTGCAGTCAGGATATTCAAAATAAGTCTTGATGTCTATGTTTCAGTCAAAGTTCTGGACTTATTTGAACCAATAGCTACACGAATATGCCCACTACCAATTCACTGGATAGGTTTTAAAGCGGAACAACAATTTACTATGCCTCAAGTCCTCCATCTTCCTCTCGTCAGTGCTGTTGTTTAAACAGCGCTCGCAATAGGTCAGCAATTTAATTGAGCCTTACGCTAAACCTCAGCATTTTTTCTGAATGAACTAAAACGCCGGTAAATGTTCTTCGTACTAATGCTACAACTATGAGGTTCCAATGGCGTCGCAACCAAAATAATAAAGTCTCCTGGATGAAGGTGATCAGACGTGTTCCGTTTCTTTGTCCATAGACATTCACTATTGGCAGATTTCCACTCCAGTTAGAAAGTTCTGTAGTAGGCGGAAAGTGACTTAGTGGCGTAAAACGTAAACACTTTTACTGACCAACCCGGTCTACTCGGGAAAATGGTCAAATATTTACAGCTCATTTGTGAAAATACCTTGCCCCAGACTATTTTCCCAGAACCCCAGAAATTTTCGCAACACGTCTTTGAATTTTTTTTAATTTGCCTCCGTCTTACGTGGAAATTCCCAAGTGGTTTTATGGCCACATTCAAAACTCGTGACATTTTGTTTTTTTCCTGACCCTGGAGGAAACCTGTAAATGTCTCTACCTCAGTTTGCCATACATTGCCAACAGCATACACCAGTCCACCGGAAACATGAAAGCTATGGGGCTATTCAGCTATCGATCCCAGATCTACAACAGGTCCCAATGGACCTCGCTCTGAAAGCAAAAAAGGAGGGGAGGCATTGCCTTCTTTCGAACAAAGCCGGCGTTTGCGACCATAAACGGCAGGTGTTTATCAGTTTTCCCGCATGATTTCTCTTAAATTCAAGAAAATCAACATGTGCTCGGGTAAATAACTTGGATATAGATAGTGGGTCAATTTGACTAATCTGAATGAATATTAATGAGTAATCACCATACACGGTACTTCAGAGAAAAGACATGGATCTCTCAACTCTCGCATACACGTGCAGAATGACACATCATTTTCAGCGCCATCTGAAACAAAATCTTCTAGAAATTCCATCTACCCTCCATTGAAGGGCTGCTGCTAACTGACCGAGCCGTGCTATCAAACTGACGGAGCCCCGGTCGATCAAGTTCCCACACTACGCGATTCACGAATGGATCACTACACACTTTATAGCAGTGCAAAAGTGACTGTCAATCTGAACGGTGGTCAAACCCAGCGTGTCGTGTACCTAACGCCAAGTTCACCTTTTGTTTCAGAACCTACAGCTTGACAGCAAGTCGCAACTGAGAGAATACACTGACCTTAATTAGAACGGACGCCCCAAATCCATAATGGGCACATGTTTGTGTTCTAGGGAGAATTTGGTGCAAGTACATTTCG